CAATTTCCAAATCGCGGATGTTTATTTTAATTGGCAGCTTGGATGCTATACTGGTAGTCTATTGCAACCAGAACAGAAGGATAGACCCGCAATGCTGGGCATACGCCGTATATGCGCCATTTGCAAAGCCGGCCATTCTCATAGAGGCTACAGTCTACTAGACTTCAGCATCATCAGCCACACATCCAGCGTTATTTGCGTCACACTTGAAAAAACTTTGACAAATGGGTGTGACCACTGGGCAATTAGCATGGTAAAAACGTTGTGACTAAGCATGTTTAGACTTGACCGCTTGATATAGCCGTGGACCAGCACCAATACACAGCTTCTGTGCAGCATTAACCAAAAGCTGGTAGATCCACACAACCATGCTCTGGCAATACAGGCTGCGTCCACGCATGTTCTGCTGCAGCACGCGTGCGACGTAGAATATGTGGCTGTAGTATAGGTTTTCTAGCAGGCCAAGAGCTTTGAGCATGTTTATAGAATATCCTTCATGGTCATTGTGTGGTGTGAGTAAGCCATATAAACCAGTGTAAAGTGTCTAGACTGTCAATGAAATAGCTTGAATTTTACGCTACAGAAGTATTATTTCAGATGACTTCTCTCGGCCACTATATTATGATATTAAAGCTATAAAACACCTAAAAGACTAAACTACAGCAATATCACCACAATATTAGCGTATATGTATGCATTGCCAGCAATTTTATAGGCGTGCTTCGTAGCCAAACCAGATATTACGTGCCGACTCGTAGATGCCGTCATCGCCATCATCACTCAAAATATCGTTTCGAATCTTCCTGGCACTTTTGAGAGACATGGGATAGTCAATGTAGTCAAGTATCAAGTCCCAGACCAAATTGGGTAGATTAGCAAATGGCACTATTTGTCTAACATCTCTAGCCCACCAGTTCTGCTGCTGTGGAGGCACCATTGCTGTTGAAGGGACGCGGAGTGAGGGATCAATCAGATAAAATACAAGCATTTTGCGACAGCCGGGCTTGCTTGGATCGCACAGATTGAATGCAGTGTCTCTACTCTGATAGACATTCGAATATACAAAGCAGCGGCCAGGTTTAATTTTAACTATGCCGACCTCCTGCGAAATTACCTCATCAATATGCTCATCCGAATCGTCGTCTGAATGATTATCTGACTCTTCATCTGATTCATCTTCTGAATCCCCGTTCGAATCTCTAAATTCCAAACCATTGCCATGTAGGTATTCTCGAAGTTCCACTCCACCATCCACAATGTTGTTTGAGTCATAGCAATACATGCCTGTAGCAATAATCTCTCTTGTCCAAAGAGTTTTCTTTCCTGCAAACCAGACAGTACCAGTATACTCGGGATTATCGGGTGTCAGCATGATATTTGACATTTCAACCACTACTTGGAGATGCCGTCCACGCAGGCTATATGGAACGATGGGTCGGAGCGGTAGGTTTTCTTTAACTGGAAAACTGCGCGAATACTGAAAGTGCGCAATATCAGTCAGAGTTTGTTCAAAGAGAGGCAAAAGACAAGAGAATGCCGATGCGATTGTAGGATAGAAGTCGGAATATTCTATTGGGTGGAGGTTGTTGATGTACGACTCAATGGAAACGCTGCCATTGGAGTCGACAGAAAACTCGGCCGGTAGTCTGAGATTTCTTTTTAATTTAGGGTATGTATAGCTCCAGAGGTAAGCGTTATATTGATATTTGATTGGGTCCGCTTGGCCGTAGTTCTCAGAAATAAAGTCCCTCCACTCGCCGAAATGACTAGGGTTGTGACCAAGTGTGTCAATAGATAACGCGTCTTTGGGAGAAGCAATTGGTTTGGCTAGCACACGCGAGTGTTTAGTTGCAAATGGAAAAAGAAGTGGATCAATTGGTTTGATGAGGTGTGCGCCATTATAGGGAATTTTGTCGTTTATATGCTCTGGATCATTCTCGAGCAAAATGGAAAATTGTTTGAGACTCGCACGCGTCACAGGACCAACAAGAGCGTCTGAGAACCACACATAGTCAATGTCACTCAGTTTGGCGCCATATTCGGGCTGCAGAGAAGCCAAGAAATTCAGCTTATCAAACACAGCCTTTAATGCAGACTCTTCAAGCTTCTCACAATATTCAGCAATCCAGCGCTCACGAGTTTCCCGAGTTTCAAGTCCAGTGATCCAGTCGACATTTGAACGAATCTGCTGACTAAGTAGACGCATGGATCTGTAGGTATCGCACTCAACCTGTACTGACGGAATGGCGCGTTCATATTTGCCGGGAAGGAATAGTTTTCGAATAAGGCAATCAAGTGTATCGTCACTTGTTTTATTGATACCCATGATAGTTGAAGAATAGTGTCGAAAAAAAGAAGAACAAAGCTGCAGGTTCAATAGAGACACGACAAAGTAAAAAAAGTATAAAAGCAGTTTTGCAAGAAAATAGTGATTTTATATATGATGCGGATGATTGCAATTTAAAAAATGCGACAGAATAGAATACTAAAGATTGAGAATTAAAGGCGTTCAATCTATGCACACATTTTTTTAAAATATATGATTAATAGCAAAAATGATTGATTATGGCTAACGCAATTGCTAAAAAATGTTTATTGCTCTTGCTTTTTAAAGAAAGTTGACCAGAAAATAAGATACCAAAGCAAACTCGAAAAGCTGCTGATACCGCAATGAAGGATTATGTTTATAGTTTTGATGTATAAATACAAAACAAAAAAGTTTGAATACCTAGTATAAAAAAAGCTGAAGTAACTCTAACAAGTAAACAAAAGAGCAAAAACTAACGATCGCGCCAGGGATCGAACCTGGAATCTCTTGATCCGTAGTCAAGCGCCTTATCCATTGGGCCACGCAACCAGTACTAAACTAACTTTACTTCTTAAATTTAAAATAACTATGGCATAATCGCTATCTAATCAGCTATTTTTGGATTTTGTAAATTTTGGTGATTATTTTGCCAATTTTACAGGGTTTGCCCGACTTACACTACGCCAACGCGCTACCCAAAATAGCTAAACTGGTTTAGAGCCGCTGGATAATTACTCTTAACCAGTGTCTCCATGCTGAACTCGATAGGATCAATCAGACGGTCCGGCTTGGCTTCTCTGGTATTTCTCTTTCTGACCCTCAATTTTAGAATTTCGCGCATTCTAACTAAATAATCTGTAACACCACAACAACGTTTGCGGCAGAGACAACTATCTAGCAATGATATTTCAATTAAGCTGTAATATAAGCATAGCAAGCTATTACTATATTCAGAAATCGGTTTGTTTATACTGTAAGATATCCAAAACTCATTGAGTACCAAACACCAATGTTTGCAATATCTGACAGTAATGATTTTAATGATTTATTATTTTAAGTGTAGACCATACGGGTTGTGCAACATCAAAATAATTTTTTATAAATACCACTGACACAAATATATGCTCTTTTTGGGCAGATAACTCGACTACTTTCGAAATTTATGGTTTATCTTTTGACCAGTGCCGATACTCGGCACAACAGCTACCCAAAACATAATTTGTGATAATTGCTGACAATCTAGCAATTCCACGACAAGAATATTAATTGACAGGAGTCTAAGCCTAAACCCTGAGGTTCTGCTAAACATGAAATTTAATTTCTAACAGTATAATAATTTCAAATAAATTTACTCTGGCTAACCCTTAAAAATCCATGTAACTCATATTGACATATCACATATTATCTTCAATGTTGTTTTTCTGACCGTTGGACATCATATTTTATTTTTCCCCAGAAGTAAAATAACATCAATTCATTATGAGTTAATTGTCTCCTTACTTTATAACTATCTTTTTTTGGCGAATTGTTTATACTTTTTGTCAATATATTCTTGATATTAACTTGTCTCCGAGTCTCTGGCTCTCCAACTCTTTGACGTAGACTGTCACATTTAACTGGTAGCAAACATGTTGCAACTAGGAAAACCTGATGGCAACAGTAGGTTACTAAAGTCGGTTAGCTTTTTAGATTATGTAATAATAATTTATTCTAAGGACATATGCATCGTTGTAAATAATTGTAATAAAATCAAAAGTATATAAACCACAGGTTTGACTAGCTTTCAGCTGAGTACTGGTTGTTGTTGGGAGCAAGTTATTAATTTCAAAAATGTATACTGGCTACTGAGTTAAACTGTCATTAGAATCAATCACAACGGTACATTCCTGGTATCGTGTAATTAAAAAACCCGTGTTTAGACGCTTAATTTGGTACAAAATTATAATTCCAGTACTCAGTGTGTTATATATATCACCGAAGATCAAAATAGCAAAACAAAAGGAGAATCAATAGACCCTTCTGTCCAAGTGTTAGGATTCTTTAAGTAGATAAAATTGAATATTTTACTTGCTAAGAGTAATTAAATAAGAGGCAAGAAATTTAGAATTTACAAGCTTACTTTTGTGTATACAATAGTACTAATAGCCAGAAAGGTTTATATATTTAACATTTAAAGTCTATATTTGCTGACAACCACATAAGATAATCTTTGGAGTTTAATATAAGCGTATTATTAGTGTATTTACATAATTTTTGTGATTACACATAAATTTACATGTATAAACTAAATTTTTAATAAGCTAGCAATAATCAATTTTAGAAATTTGCGCATAAAAATAACTGAGACAATATGTTTAGTAAGTACAATTATCAGTGCAAACTTTATGACTAAAAATACGAATTTTTTAGATATTTCAGTGTGCTGTCTTTGGCTTGATCTTTTATATTATATTTTTGCTGATAGTTGTTCAAGTTGTAAATGCAGCAAATATAATTTTAATAAAGTTTAAAAATCTCAAAAATACTTTATTAACATTTAACATGTATTAAAAATATAAAAACTAACGCACAAGCCAGTTTTATTTGCAAAAAAAAGTCAATAACAGTAACAAATGCGTACCTTTATATACACTCGCTAATTTTTAATCTCAGACGAGCAAAATATTTCTTACCTTGCTTGAGACAATACTAAGGCTTAGTGGTCTAGTGGTATGATTAATGCTGTTGGTGCAGGAGGTCCCGGGTTCAATCCCCGGCTGAGCCCTAGTTTTTTGCATCAGCCGTTGCTGACACTTTTTTTTATGGCTAATGCTTTTTATATTGCTGAAAGAAAGAATGCGATGAAATGACTGGCATAGTTCTTTTTGGGACAGTTGTCGCTTTTGATCTTCTCTTTGTCTTTTTGCCCTGCATTTTTTTACTAGTCTTTCGATTAATTAATGAGCGCTGTTAGTTCGGATTCCGAGGTCGAAGTAGTCCCTTCGCCGCCAAAGATCACGCCGCGTGCAGTGCGTCGACCGTTGCCGGCGCGTAGTTCCCATGACAACGACGGCGGGTCGAGTTCGAGCGACAGCGACGACGACGTGTCGTTTTTCACGTACCGGCGACCGCCAGTCACTCTGGCGGACCTGCCCGAGCCGAATGCAAGCGGCGAGCGGGCTGCTGAGGGAAAAAACGGCAATGTCGAGCCGCTGCATGGCCCAAGGGGTGCGTTTTCCGACAGCTCTGACAGCGGCAATGTGGTTGACAGCAGCGATAGCGACAGCGAGGTCGAGGAGGTCAATGGGTCGGAGGCACATTCGGGGGGCAGGGGCAGGGGCAGGGGTGGTGGTGCCAAGAGGCGCAGACATTCGGGCGGCTCGGACGACGACAGCGGGGCGGAGGGCCAGAGCAAGCGGTCGCGCAGCGTGTCGGTGACGCCGCCGCCCGACACGAGCGTCCGGCCGGCGCCGCGAGCGCCGATTCGCAACATGCTCGCGCGGGCATTCCCGGCCGAGCCAATCTCGGTACCCGAGTCCACCGACACGAGCGACCTCGACCCGTCTTTGCTGGCGGCAATAACCGCAGCCAGCACACCCGGCGCCACCGACCCAGCGCTGGCCGAGAAAGTGCAGGTGGAGTTCCAGCTGGTGTACGACGAGCAGTTCCTCTCGGCCGACGTGCCGCTGACCTGGGACAGCAAGCGGTGGGGCCGAGTGAAGCCGCACGAGTCGCAGAAGATTCTGAAGAAGCTGAATGAGCGCGTCGCCGTGGTGGTGTTTGCCAGCGACCCGGTGGCCAAGGCGCTGCAGGTGTTCTCGGACAACTTCCCCGTCGACGTGGCGGCCACTGATCCGGTGCTTGTCCAGAGCGCAGCGACGCGAGTGTTTCTGACCAGCAGGGTGGCCAGTCTGGGCAAGGCGCCGGTGCACTATGTCAGGGTATTCCCGAGGTCCGTCTATGGCCGCGTCAAGGCGCACGAGGCGTTGGTTAGCCGGCAGAGGGAGGCTGAGCGGGAGGAGATGAGCAGGGATATGGAGATTGCGCGTGAGCTGCGCAGGAATGTGGGGGCCGATGAGGTCGAGGTGGTTGACGAAGAGCAGCAACAGCAGGAAGAGGGACCGCCGGAGGGCGCGATCCGGATCAAGATCAGGAATAAAGAGGGCAAGGATCAGCTGCTGATGGTCATGCCGACAACGACGGTGCAGTCTGTCATCGACAACTACCGCAAGATGGCCGGGCTCGCAGAAGACGCCGCCGTAAGGCTCGAGTTTGACGACGAGAAGCTCGACCCCGCATCGACCATCGGCGAGACCGAGATCGAAGACGACGACATGCTGACCGTGTTCTAACCCGCTCTCTTGAGAGGGAGAGAGAGAGAGAGAGAAAAGTGTGCGATCTAGAGGCCGCAAAGGTTCAACCGCGAGATATTTTTTCTCTCCCCCGTCTTTTTTCTTCTTCTTCTTTGACCCTGCTTGCTGCTTGTAATTTACTTTCTTCCCTTTCATTTTACACACTTTCGAATCATGAACGCCGCCGCGAGGGTAGCCAAGGTGGTGGTGGTAAAGTTCAGCACAGAGGGCGTGTCGACCATGGACCAGTCGCTCAAGCTGCTGAGCCACGTGCAAAAGTTCGGCGAGGTAACCTCCTTCTGGGTCCCCCGCGACCCGCTGACGCAGCAGCGCACCGGCATGGCATTCGTCACCTACCAGCACACGTCCGACGCCATCTCGGCCGCCTCCACAACCCACCAAATCGTACCGGGCCTGCAACTGCCCTTCAACCGCATAGAAGTAACTCCTCGGCGATAATAGTAAATTTATTCAATGTAAAAAAAAAAACCAAAGCTTTTATTTCTTTTTATTGCTGGTTGGCTTGCGAAATCTTTGCTAGCTTGTCGGTGACCTCGCGGTTGACCTGGAAGTACTTTGCGACGCAGCGGTCGATGCACACGGACTCGGCCTTGGTCAGCTCGTCGTCAGCGTAGCGCTGGATCAGGCACTTTTTGTTGCACAGCTCGCCCAGCCGGGCGAACATGTCCGTGACCATTTCCATTTCTTGCTCGGCTGCTGCCAGCTGCGCATTAGGGTCCATTTGGCCCTGGCCCTGGCCCATGCCCATGCCGGGCATGCCGCCCATGCCTGCCGGCTGTGCGGGCTTCTGGCTGCCGCCGCCTCCACCGAACATACCGCCGAACATTTTGAATTGAGTAGAATCTAGTTTAGTGGTATTAAAAAAAAAGAGTGGAGATAAAAAAGTCGAAAAAAAAGATAAAAGTGATTATGGCGATCAAGAGGGTCCAGGTTTGTGTTGCCCAGCAAAATTTTATGATCCAGCTTTTTTTTATTTCCTCCTTGCTTGCGATAATTATTTTTTTTTTCTGTATATCCTTGGCTGTTTCGCTGTCAAATGCCCAAACCGAAAAAGTATAGTCTGGCGCTGCAGGCCAAGCAGCTGCAGGCGCAGAAGGCCAAGGCAGATGCCAGCAAGCAGACGCAGACGCAGAACCGGGCACCCGCCAAGCCCCGGCCGAAGCACCAGCAGCGACCGCTCTTCCCCTACAAGCCGCACCACCACATCCTGCTCGTCGGCGAGGGCAACTTCAGCTTTGCGCACAGCGTTGCCCGGCGGCTCGGCTCCGGCAGCAACCTGACGGCCACGGCATTCGACAGCGAGCCCGTGGTGCACGAAAAGTACCCCGACGCCCAGGCGCACATCGACGCGCTGCGGCAGCTGGGCGCCCGGGTGGCATTCGACGTGGACGCTACGAGCCTTGCGCAGGCGCAGGTGCTCGGGGACAAGCCGCGGTTCTCGCACATCGTGTTTAACTTCCCGCACGCCGGCGCAGGGATCAAGGACCAGGCACGGAACATTGCGTGCAACCAGACGCTGCTGATGGGATTCTTCCAGAGCGCCATTCCGTTCCTCGTCGTCGGGTCGGCCAGAAGACCTGAAAAGAAGCGTACAGGCAATGATGACGACGGCGACGAGGTGCGGAAGCGGCGCAAGACCCGTGGTTCCGGCGACTCTGGAGAGGTGTTTGAGTTTGAGGGCGCGCAGGCGACGGTGTCGTACGACGGCGCGCTGGTCGAAGACGAGGCGGCAGCTCCGGCGGGGCAGATCCACGTGACACTGAAGTCGGGCGAGCCCTACGTGCACTGGAACGTGCGGCAGCTGGCCAAGGACTGCGGGCTTGTTGCGCATACCACGGTGCCGTTTGACGTGCGTGCGTTCCCGGGATACGAGCACCGGCGCACGCTGGGGTTCAAGGACGGCGTGTCGAAGGATGCGAACCAGGAGATCCGCGACAAGGACCCGCGGATCCACATGTTTGTCGTCAGGCCGCCGGAGCTGCAGGAAAAGAAGGAGGGTGAGGAGGAGGTGGTGGTGGAGGACGGCCGTCGCACAAAGAAGACGGGCAGGCCGTCGGATGGGCCTAAGAGGGGTGCGAAGGGGAAGCGTAGTGCAGGTGTCAATTCGGAGTCATTTGACAGTGGTCTTGCAAAGGCCAAGCGCAAGCGGTAGCGCATGGTTTGCTGGATCGAGTCCATTTTTGTAGCCGGGCTTTGCTCGCAATAAAAGTTAGAGTTTGTAGGTGAGCCGCCAAACATAGTAAACTCACCGCCTTGCTATTTGCGACGAACTTTAGTAGCGATACAATTGCAATCAGGGTTCGGATCAAAGCTGGTTGGTTTTACATGTGCATATCGGTTGTCAAAATACGAGAATGTTTGCTGCTTTGCTCCATGCCACATGTAGACACGGAAATCGTCAACTTGTCTCTTTTTGTTCTTGGACTCTCCTGAAATTTCTCCTTTTTGAATTATATATCAGCTCTAACCAAACATGATACATAATCTTGAGACTATGGTGCTGCTCTATCTGCTTCTTGGAGCGACCGCTGCTGCGGATAGTGGTGGTGGCGGTGGTGGTGGCATTCAAACCAACCAGATGGACCTTTTGAGCGGCATCCCAGCACTGCTGGTTGTATTTGTGGGAATCGTTCAGATCTGGCCGAGCCCCGCGCAGATGTGCAGACCAGGTCTCTATGCATTTTTGAACTGGCTAAAGGACTCGGTTGAAAACGACTTTTACATATCCATCCATTCTTGTGACAAGAGGTGCCAGACACAGCTGTTTGAACCGACATTAGGCTCAATCAATAGGCGCATCTGCATTAACGTTGGTGATGCTCAGGAAACTGGATGCATCGACAGCGGGTATGTCTCGGTTGACGAGCTGATCGATATTATCCAGGCAGATGGCAACAGCGTTACGCTGGCAGAGCTTGCAATGACTGCACGCTATCCACAGATAAAGCAACTTAGTAGGATCATCACCGTCCTGCGGTTTTCGCCGACACTCGGCAGGCGCGTTATTATATTCCAGTGGTTGGCTGTGAGCGTCATGTACGTGCTTAGCTGGCTGTTCAGCGGCTGGCTGTTTTTGGGTATCAAGCGGTTATTGCGTGGTCTCTGGAATGACGTGCGCCGCGTGTTTGGGCTCTTGCCTGTAGATTACGCCCAGTATCGGCGCTTTGGTCTTGGCTACCATATAGCCGAGCTGGCAGAGCATCGTCTTGTTTTCGAGCACTTGCCGTGGGTCCGCTACAGCGTCTACTATTTGCTTTTAAAGCTCGCTGGACGCAAGCTAAGCATCAGGGCGTGGGGCATCGAGGACAAAAAGACCATTTACAAAAAGAACAACGACACCATAGGTATTAATAGAGGAAGCGAGAACAGTCCGGTTTTTGAACACCCGATGGTAGACCAGCGCCGCCTGGCG